CACATAAAGGAAGGAGTTTGCTCTGGAACGACGTCATTTTTTATTCAAACACTTACCCTTTATAATAAAATTAGACGAAATTACCGGACATAACTACTTGGAAACAACAATTAGATGAATCCTATTATTAATGGAGCACTTCTACTATATATGCTATATAGCATTGGTGCTTTAATGTACAACTGCTCCACTTCTACTATATATATATGTTATATAGCATTAGTGCTTTAATGTACAACTTAAAGTTGTATCATAACATTAAGTGTATAAGTTTAGGTTGTACTATAAAGCAATTTGTACCATTATGTTATGATACAACTTTACAACTTGAAGTTGTACCATCACATAAAGGTACAAGTTCAAGTTGTACCACAAAAGAATTTGTACAAAAAGTATAGGTACAATCTGAAGTTGTACCACAACGTAAATGTACAACTTTAAATTGTACCATAAAGACAAAAAACTTATAGCATCAATACTATATAGCATTGTAAAATTTCTCTTAATAATGCCCAAACTCATATTTTTTTTTTTGGTTCATCGTCGTGCAGTTGAAGATTACCATTGTTTTCAGAACAAACGGGACGATAAAACATTACCATAACATTAAATGTATAAGTTTAGGTTGTACTATAAAGCAATTTGTGTCATTATATTATGATACAACTTTACAACTTGAAGTTATACCATCACATAAAGGTACAAGTTCAAGTTGTACCACAAAAGAATTTGTACAAAAAGTATAGGTACAATCTGAAGTTGTACCACAACGTAAATGTACAATTTTAAATTGTACCATAAAGACAAAAAACTTATAACATCAATACTATATAGCATTGTAAAATTTCTCTTAATAATATGCCCAAACTCATTTTTTTTTTTTTTTTGGTTCATCGTCGTGCAGTTGAAGATTACCATTGCTTTCAGAACAAACGGGACCGATAAAACATTACCATAATATATAATAATAATAATAGATAAAACATAACTACTTCTGTTATTTTATTCGAAACGTAATCATAATTCGTTAATTGAAAACACACGGTAATATAATTATACAGCCTTCCTTCTTTCTCCCAAACAAAGCTTGCTCGCGAACTGTTACTGGACCCCATCATCAGTATTCTCCGGGGGAAGAACATGCCGCCGGCCGCCGCGCGCTCTCTGGCTGTTTTAAGGAGTTGAGGGATAGCAGAAACATTGATTCAATGCACATTCGCAACCCATGACGTAGCCGGGACCGTACGCTTTACACTCCTCCAAGTATATCTTAACGCACTTCTCGTAACTGCAGTCTCCGTTGCTACAGTAGTACTCTCCCTGGATCTCAACGGAAGTATTGTTGTTGCTGCCGGAAGAAGCTGCACGAGGTCCGTAAACAGCGAGTGGTAGTACTGAAGCCGTTCCTCCGTTGTCGCGGCTAGATCGGTGGTGCAGACGGTGGTTCCTGCGGGTGTTCCAGCATCGGCCTTGGATCAAACCTGATAATTAAAAAAAAAACAAAATGAAAGTATTCCGAATTTCGTACCTGAGATCATGATGATGATGATCTGTGGTGCTAGAATCGATGGGAGCCCTTGATGGAGGAGCATCGTCGTCGTTCCCGCGTAGACTAGGAGCCATTGTTCTCGCCGATTCGCTTGAATGCAGAAGGCCTGCAAGCAGAGGTTCAATCGTGAATCATATATCGTGTCCGGGCACCATGTGCTTAACAGAAATGGGAAACATATGGGGTCAGGTCATCGGGAATTGAACACAAGACCTCTCGGTAACAAAAGGCTCTGATACCATGTCAAGAACCAGTTTGATTCCAATATAATACGAGTTGTTGTGAAATGTTCAATCGTGAATTATATACTGCGTTTAATTACTAACAAAGGTGGCGGTGGGGGAAAATAGAGTACATACATGGGATTAGGACGACCCATAAGATGAAGGGAACCAAGATGGCCAACTTGGTAGTGATCATCATCGCCATGGCTAGCTAGCTGGGTGTTCTTGGAGTTAAAGATGGTTATGTATGGATGGATATTGGTGAGCAATGGTATAGTAGGTATCTGGTTTATATACAATTCATACTTAGGGTTTCTTTTCATTATTTACAGTTTAGGATCAATTCATACTTATCATTTGATTCCTTTCTTTCCCTAAACGACGAAAGCAAGCAACCATCTATATGTATATACATATTGCTAGATGAGTGATTGGAATAGAAGAAAGTTGTAGTTCTTGGGTGTTATTCTTTATTTCGGTTATTCCAAAGCTCGAAATCAATTGCATTGATAACTACTCCGTGAGGCTAACAAGGGGAAACAAGCAAAAGGAGGGAAGAACATGATAACAAAGAAGAAGAAGAAGAAAAGGTAGTGTCATTGATTAAGATGATGCCTTTGTGTAAATACATGTTTTGTACGTATGTATGCCTTCTATCTCCTCTTGATCCGTGACAGATAGGGATGACAACAAAACTCGAAACCACGCGCGGGTATCCTATCCGATCCAATCCGGTTAACGCGGGTAAAACCTGTGTTGACGGGTTTTGGATCGGATTTGGGTTTAAACCCGTTCACTATTTATCGGGATGGGTTGAGTTTGGATTTAGGTATACCGGCCCCGTGGATACCCGCTCACAACCATATGATTCATTTTCCCGATATATTTAATATTCTAAGCAACTTATAATCTTCTTTACGTTTGTGGAGACGTGTCTAATATTTCTTTCTGATTGTATAGAATGAAGTTGATATTATTAAGTGGAGAGTGAAGAAGTTTAATTGACAATGAGGAAGAAGTTTTCAATTAATCATGTTGTTTATAGATAATTTGTGATTTGCTTCAATTTTCTTGAGTTTTCTAGATTGGTGTTGAACAATTTGTATGGTTAATTTGTGATTTGCATGAATTTTCTAGAATGATGTTTTATATATGGATAATTTGTATTGAGATATTGGTATTTGACTTTTATTTTGATAGGAACTTGTTATTGAACACATGGGTGGCTTCACAAAAAATATGATACTAGGTGGATGGTGGAGGGTTGGAATTTTGTATTACAGAGTAATAAATCCAAACAGTCCGAAAAATAATAACTAAATACAAATATTTAAACAAACATAAGCCAGCGTAATTCTATCGAATTGCCACGTCGGCTCGATCTCCGAACAAGCCACATTCGGCGCCGGTTGCGAGTCAAGCTATTCGTTATTAGTACCCAATGGCGCCACTCCGATGACAAATTGATCTCTTCGTGATAGACATCTTCTTTGCATAAGATCAATTGAATTAGAAACTAAAAATCGACGATCATCATTCATCGAAATATATGAATCAAAAAAAAAAATTACATGTACAATCTTAGAAGTTAGACTCTACGATTTACGAATCGCACAAGCAATCGCAATAATTGTAATAATCCGGGTCACAGACGCAGCCCACTTTGCAATTCCTTTCAGCATCTTGACCATAGCACAGATCTCGGTGATACCATTGGCATTCATAGTCGTTGCAATAAGCATCGCAATATTTCTCCACCGAAGCTGTAGCGTTGTTGGATGCTTCAGCTTTAGGTCTCATGACTACACCTGTTCCTTTTTTCGGCACCAGTTGGGTTGCTAATAATTTCTTATTGTTGCTGCTGCATTTTTATTGACGGGATTACGTTAGTTGACCAATAATTAACGAGATTGCAGGAGAAAATACGCCCTACAATGTGCATGAAAATACAAATTAAATTTGTCCAATGATTAATTGATAAATTTGTGCGAGGAAAATAGGATATGTACATTGCGTAATATATCTCGTAGCGTCAAAAAACATCACACCAAAAATAAGATATGGGAAAAGATCCCGGGGAAATAACCAAACCGTACGTGCGTGAGACTTTCATCTCGCACGACTCCTAAATGATAAAAAGAAACTACATAATGCCTCGATGATGAGAAGCATACCTATCGTTAGTCGGAGCATCGTTGCCATTCCCCGACTTCGGACTAACTACTCTCGATGCGCTCGAAAGCAAAACATGACCTGCAGCAAGCTAAATATCCGTTATCTGAAACCGTTTCAGCCACTTTCAAAAAAGCTTGGAATACAAATGACGAAAAAGATTCAAGATGTTTATGTTATTTTGTTCTAAAGGCAAAAAGAAATACGTAGAAATTAAGATGGACAGATCGAGTACGTACATGGAAGGATGATGATGAGAAGCAAGACGACGACCAACTTATTGGCAATGGTACTGCAGTTGGGGATCGCCATGGCTATATAGCTATTTTTCTTGCTTTCTTTTGAGATAATTTTTCTTTTCGTCGGAAAAAGGTTCGGAATGTTACAGTATTTCTGCATGTTGAAGAATTGTTGCTTGCATGTATATATAGAGTTCGAAGGGGATGCAAAGGCTTGGATATTCTCCCTGGTATATATAATTAATTCATTAGTTAATATTCAATTTTCTTGTGCATTAGGGAATTTTTTTTTCGGTGTGGTTGTTAAACAATTCCAAATAATTTGCTTCTCTAATTGTTTCATAGGCCTCTCCGTCGTGAAAGAAAAACCAACTAATAAAATTACACGTGTTTTTTTGGGAGTACATTTACGCTACTTATGATAGAACAACCATTTAAACGGCTCACGATGCAACCTATGAATAGGATAGCTTGAAGGCGTTATAAGCTATTTTTGGTCTTCATCAAAATGAAAATAGAAACTATTCTTGTTCTTGGTGTTCTTCTGCCTTGTCATTGTCTTTGTTATCAACTTATATATGAAAAAACGAAGAGTTGTCACCCATAACAAGGTGAAAACTCTTAACTGCAATGCCAGGATTCATTCACAATCAAAATGCAAATTCATGTCATTTTGGTCAAGCTGTAAAATTTATTCCATTGATGACACCGAATGCGCCGGAGAAAGTAGAAACCAATGGCAGTTTCAGAGGAAACACATGTTTGGCTCTGAAAGCTGCCTATCATACTAAAATGTTACTCAGTCGGGCAGAGAACCTACTCCGTAGCCTCCGCTGGTTGGGAGACTTCATTTTGTTTCAAGTTCTCGAGTGCAGAGATCCGTGCATCGAGTGTCTCGTAAAGGCCAGTTACCTAGGGAAACAAATGAAAATGGAAAAAATGGGAGTTAAAAGAGACAGAATGCTCAACAATGCATCACACCATTCTCCAGAAGAGGAAAACAAGCTGAACTAGCAAGTTTGCTTTGTTAATTTATCGACTCAAATACCCTTCCATATGAAAGGATGCATCTACAACACAGTTGTAGGTCCTCGAGCATTTCTATGTCAATTTCTCTACTCGATTTACTGCAGTTCTAACCGGGTAGTGAACTCTGACAATTGAAATGAAATTGGACTACACGTTGTAAGAAATTGCTAGTTGAAGTTCAGAAAAGGCCAGATGCTGAGAAATGGAAAGATGGCCCATCTTCTGGAAACACTCTACATATATATATCAGCAGACTGGAAATTCAGTTGGTTTGAATTTGTAACTCTCTCAGCAATTAAGAATGTTTCAGAGAGTGATGATTGATGAATAGCACTAGATGACTCAAGAAAACAAAAAAATTCAAATGATCCAGTCAGAAGGAGATTAGTCTTATGAGTGGACCAAGCACATTATTACTTCCTCAGTCTGTTCTTAATCAAACAAAGAGATGAAGAGGGAGAAGAGAATGGAATTAACTACCAAGACTAGCTCAACTGTACGTTGGACATCATATCATAAACTACAAGCATTCAAGCAGTCCGAAGCCACAAGAAAGAATAATCTAGGTATTGGCACAAAAGCATTGAAGTGTGGAGGGTGATTCTGCAGAGCGGTTTTCGGTTGAATTATGGAAATAGAGAACAGAATACAATTTGGAGTCTCTAGTTGCTGGCTAGACACCAATGCATGGATTGTCAATTTGGAAGGATACAATCAAGAATGTAGATCAAGCTCTAAGAGTTATCCTGGTATAAGATGCAAAGCCAAAAGGTCTATAAGAGCTCTCTCAAGGGCAGGTGGTGAAAAGCACTGATGCCCTTCATAGACCTGGATGATGACACCTCAGAAGCACCTTAGAAAGGAGAAAAGGAGTTTTCTGAACAGAGAACAAGCATAACTATTTGTTTTCCTTCTTTCGTCTACTTCTTTTCAGATGACAATGCAACAGAAGCAATCCAAGAAAATGCCAAGATTGAAGCTTAACAGAGCGGATTTCATCGAGTATTCTCCTAGTTCTTATGTTCATAACAAATTTGAAAAGGATGATCACAAAAAGAAGTTCCAAAGATAGGAACTTGATCAGAAGGGCACAGGATTCCGTTCTATTCCTCAGGCTGGACGAAGGGAGTTTGAGATGAAGAGAGATACCCCCTCCAGGTTGGGGGGATCTAATGAGGCTCAATCTCCGTAGCTTGTCCGTGTAAAAGTTATTTCCTAGCATCTCTACTTGCAGTGTTGCAACAAAGCTAATATAATTTCTATCTACGAAAGGGCACCCATTCCATAATTAGATCCCACTCACAAGCCAAACCAGCAACCTATGTTGAAGAAGAAGAAGAAGAATTCTTCTTGCACATTGTTTTAGCAACTACATTTGGGGGGGAAAACATGGGATCGGACTATGATTGAACGATGCCATAAACAACTCTTACAGAAGCCTCCGGTCATCGAAATGCCAACCAATTACACAATCAGAATTGCCAGGAGGAAACTAAATCTACCAAACAACCAGAAACCCAACAAAGAAAAAAACGGAATTCCAAACCTACTTAACACCAAAGCAATCAGCTTCCCGCAAGAAAAACCCTGATGAATCCAAGCTAAAAGCAACGTCCTAATCTTACATTCAGCGTATAAATTTCTCGTGCCAACGGGCATTCGTAGAAAAAAAAAAGGAACAGCCTTCCGGCAACAAATACCTGTTGAGAAATCGATTCATGAGCCACCTTGTAATCCTTGTACAGACTGTAGAGCCCGACGAACGACGCCGTCGCTGCTCCGGCGAAGAACGACGCCAATCTCACCCTCAGCACATAACCCATCGCCGCCTTCTCCTTTTCCCTCTCTCTCAATTTCTTCTTTTCCCTCTCTTCGGCGCTCTTCGCTGCTTTTTCCCTCCGGCGGTGCCAACTGCCAACTAAAATTGGGAACAGACTGACACGGCGTCGTATAAGCAACCATCGGAGAAACCTCGAGTTTGACATATACGATGTCGTTTTTCAGTCCCGGTGACGTGGCCCGTGGAAGAAAATCCGTCCTACTGGGCTATAAATAGTTTCTGCAGAGTGGCAGGAAAAGCCTTCCTGCTTTGGACGTTTTCTCTGTTCTCTTTCTGCTGCGCCTGACAACAGACAAAGACCAGAAAGAGATAGAGAGAGAGAGATGGAGTGAAAAGGAAGGTGAAGGAGACGAAAGGGGTTTTAGGTTTTTTGTGGGTTTTCTACTGCATTTTGTGGGGAAGGAAGGCAGAGTGGGGGGGAAAAAATGACGCAGACGCCACCGCCACAGCCGCAGCAGGGGATGCTGATGAACACTCCTCCGGGAAACGTCACCACCGAGCAGATTCAGAAGGTAGTAATGTCATCTCTTCCTTTCCCCCGTTTTTGCATGGAGTTTTTTTTTTTCTTTCTTCTTCCACATTTCGTTCCCCAATCGTGATTCTGTAGTGAAATCTCCCACGCTTTCATGGGTTCTGTGAGGGAGATGGTTAGGATTATCTGCCTTTGTTCTTTCTCTCCTTTTTTGGGTTCCGCGGTTTCAAGGTCTTGAGTCTCATTGGATTCGTTGGGTATTTACAGTGTGAGTGTGCCATTTTCTTTAAATTGGATTTGGTCGGACATTGCATGACCAACAAGAGTAAGGTCATGGCATTGCTTTGTTTTGTGAAAGGGAATAGCAGGAACAAGAACTTCTCCTTTTCTGTTGCGTTTTACTGTTCTTTACCATGAAGTCCTTGGGCTATTTCTTCATTTGATCAATGATTTGTAGTGCTTGGGTTTGGATGCATGATGGGGGGAAATGCAAGATAGTCATTGGCTGCGTGACTTTGTAAAATTGTGGTGCGCTGATTATGCTTTCTCTATGGAATTCTTGGAGGCAGTTAATCTATTTGTACCTTCTTCGAGGTGTGAAGAATCGAAGATGTATTTGATTGCTTCTTTGTGTTATACACCACCTTTGATCTTGGTTCTCATTATCTGTTGCAGTACTTGGATGATAACAAGCAGTTGATCATGGCTATCCTAGAGCATCAGAGTGTTGGGAAGTTTGCTGAATGTTCCTCGTGAGTGATATCAACTAACTAGCCTATCTTTGTTTGTCTATTTAGTTGAGCATATGCATTGCATTCAAAAACTTATTTCCTCAGAATGTTGCTGCTTCGACTTCATTAAGACTTCCGCATGTAGTTCAATTTGGAAGTCCTTTCGTTTGTGGTCAGCCATCTCACTCTTGCACGAGCCTGAAAGATCGTATGGAAACATCCCCAATAAAAATTTTCAGCTCTGTTCTATTCTAGAGCTATGCTGGCTGACACCTGTATTCCAGCTAAACGTAGTTGGCTGTGCTGTATTTGAGCATGGCCAACGTCGGGAGTTCTGTATAGATAAGAGAACAGGTGTTATTAGGACTAGTAGAACAGTCTTGTGGGGCGTGTAAGTCTTATAACTTCCGCGATACATTGGTTAGAATAAGGCATTTCTCACTCTAGGATCAATAAGCCAGCCAGAAGGTGAACGAGTGTGCAGTAAATGAATTTTATATGTTTGTCTGGATCTGCTTACTTCCTTCTCTGGGAATCGACATGGAAGTTGTTAATTCTCAGTTGCACCTTAAGGGTTTTTCTCCTTTCTCCTCTTCCCTCGCTTTCACCTAAAATTGATGTTTTGTTGGCTTGACTTTCGTGGATGAGTTAAATGGACCAGCAAGTTTGATGCTAAGCAGTTTGGAAAGAACTGTTGTGCTTGGAATCACCTTGTAGCAGAAAAGAATTACTAAATTCCGCTTTTTCTTTGCATGCGATGGGGGAGCTGAATCAGTTTGCAAAACCAGCTACAACAGAACCTGATGTACCTAGCTAAGATTGCTGATGCTCAGCCACCACCACCACAGCCACAAGGGACAGCACCACCAGCACCAAATGTTCAGGTAAAAAATTTGCACAACCAAAATATAACTTGATTTGATTGCTGTTTTTCAAACGAATTGGTTACCCATTGCTCTTTTTTTTGTGTGTGTGTGTGTGCGTGTGTGTGTGTGTCTACATATACATTCAGATGGCGCCGGTGCAACAGGAGCAGCAGCAACAACAACAACAACAACATTACATTCAGGCATCCCAGGGTCAAATTGAATGGTCGCAGCAGCAGCAGCAGCAGCAGCAAATGTACCATCAAGCTCCTCGGCATCCTTTTCAGATGAACGACCCTAAGCAACAGCAACAACAGCAGCAGCATTCCTATCAGAGATAAGGAAAACATGTCGTCCTAGCGTCTCACGTGTGTTCCGAGTACTTTAGTTTCAAGGTTGCGATTCAATGGGCACCAGTATAAGCCTGGACTCTCACTTTGCTTTGTATTGAAGTGCGCCAAAACTTATATCCCATTTTAGGCTAACCCCATGGTTGTTCCCCGTTTGTTTGACATTAATTCATATCCTGTTGATTTGTGAAGCAACATTGGGTTTGGCCGAATGGTTCGATTTCAATATCCAAAACCCAACTACGCACTAGAGGCTGGGCTAATTTTGTGGCTAACCCATAGTCAGAGAAATTCAAGGCAAGGCAGGAAGGAACATCAATAAGGCAATGGTCCTATCAAAATACAACGTTATGCAAAGCAACAACCGAACATATTCCACAGCCATTGTAGATTTCCTCCACTGCAGATATAATTTGCAGTGAATACCATGAGATGCATTGCAACTGCAAGGTAATGGTGAGGCGAAAAGACATTTCCTTCTGCTATGGCAGCCAAGCATAAAGGGCAGCACGAAAAAAGCGACATATATGGGAATACACCAACCATATTGAAGACAACGAAGAACAAATTTCACAGAAAACCAACTTCTTTAGTCAGGATCTAATAACTCGTTTCTGTTTTTGCAGCAGGTAAGCATTTCCCAAAAGATTTCCTCCACTCAACAAAACCTCTACCAGCCACTGATATGCTGCATAAACCCCCCACAAGGGACGCATCCAGTTTAAGAATACCTCCTACAAGGCCGCAGAGTTACCATCATATCATTCTACGGATTCAAACCGTTTTCCCTATGACAACCTCTCATTCTTGGTCTGGATACTTTCTATCTTCTAGAAGTTGGCACGTTTCCAGTGACCCTGCAACAACGCGAAGCAACAAGAAATCAATAATTCATCAACTGACAGATAATGCATATAAACTTCTTAGATAGAAATACACCATCTTGGAAACAAGAGTTTTAAAGGGATTCAAGGCGATACCTTCCCTGCTGCTTCCCCACAAAACTCGAATTAGGCCTAGCGTGACTTGAAACTTTGCTCTGACCACTGCCGCTCAAATCAGCTCCTGCATTCGTCTCTTGACTGTTATCCTTCAATTTGCTTAGTATCTTGACATTTGACATGCCACCAGTGGCGCCAAAACTAACACCATTTAGGTGGTTGGAGTCGGTAGAAGGAAACTTTTTGGCCCGGTGAGACTGTGCCATTGGGGTGAGGGACATGGTAGAGAATGATGAGTAAGGAGTGGAGGATGCAGCTGCAGCAGCAGCTACTTTGGCAACAGCAGCGGTAGCAGCTATCATCTCTTGTGCCCCTTCTCTTAGCTGAATATACTCACCCTCAATCAAGAATAGCTGAAACCCATCACAGCCCAAAAGTCTTGAAGTAAGACAATGACTCGTTAGAAAGAAAATAACTTTGGAGTATGGAGTGTACGTCCAGAACCATACCTCTGGATGACCAGCAACAAAGTCATCTAGTTTCCCATACTTTTTCTTGTAGTCATGCCAATGAAGAGGTGCTAGCATCTTTCCTAACCTATTTGGTAGCTGCAATGGAGCAGAAAAAAGTATCAAGTTATTTCAAGTCCTCCAAGAATATGCTTGAGAAACATCTGAAGCAAATTGGTTTCAATAGCCAAGTACTAACAAACCGTTGAGTTTATGCGAATTCTACCACCAGCAGGAATTGTGCGAACTATGCAAGCCAATAAAGATCGTTCATCAATAAGGGGAGGCTCCAATGCCTTTCCAGCAGTCGCGATATTGGCCTGACCAGTCGGCGTAAAAGCTTCAGGGACAGTTGTACCAGGCCCATTACTAATGACTGTTTCAGTGAGACTAGCAGATTGAACTGAAGCTTCAGGGAGTGAGACACCAACAGCAGAACTCTGTTGTTCTTCAGACACAATCTGCCTCTGTAATCCATCATTGGCCAAGCTAACAACATTTTGCTCCTGCACCAGTTCAAATCCAAGTAATCTCTAAGCCTCAAAACTTTGATATCGAAACCAATGATAAATTCTAAAAGAGAAGAATGGTATGTAGACAAAACCTGTGGTTCAATTTTCTGCTCGAGAGAGTTTAACCGTAATGCTTCACTAAATTGAACAGAAATATGTTGTAGGTTTTGATCCGGCTGATTCCCAACCAAGTAACTTCTATCAATCGACTCAAGAACCTGAAAACATACTAATTTCATTACTTAATGAAAAAATCAAAGTGGTATACTTGTTTGATCGTACTAAAACATGTTAACAACAAGAACCTGTTGGTCAACACTGGATGATGAGATCACAGAATCAGGATGAGCCCCTTGATTTATATGAACATCTAGATAGTCTGATCGATATCCTTGCCCATTAACAGACATGTCATAATATTTTGTTTCTGATCTATCAAGGTTCTGCTCACTTTGAGACGGTGTCAGTTGATCCTGTGTAGAAATGTGTGATGCTTCGGTAGCAGCCTGTAGGTAAGTGCAAAGAAGTAAAGCAAGCAGGATTACAAGGCAAATATTTGAATCCCAAACCAAAAGAAGTCAGACCGCTCCTAAACCATGGGACGGTAGAAGTACAAGCTTAAAAGATAACATTCAACAGAACCTGCTGAGCCTGCCACTGTGGAAGGGATGACATTGCTGGTACTGATTGAAAATGTCCCACTTGAGACGGATGAACATGTGATGGCATTGACTGAGGAATCCCCTGTTGATGCAGAATGAAGGGATGCAGTGCTGTCATCTGTCCAGGTGGAATGTAGGTTGGCATTCCCAGTAAAGATGATGAGGAGATCGGCATGCCAGCAACATTGTTGGTCTGGCAACAAACACAAAACAAAATTTTACTTCCCATTGAAACTTCCAATGCTGGATCAGCACAAGGGAGAAATAGGCACAAGTCGGACAGCATATGAATTGCTAGACAAAATTAAAAACACAATCCTTGTATTAATCCATGTTCTCCAGCCTCAAACAAACACAGATAGCAAGCCAAGTAAGAATCCACCAAGCAGGTTCATACACACACTCTCCAGCTCGTTCATTTGTTCAGCATAAAGCTCCGCCAATCTTACATTGTCCACTAAGCCATTCACTGCAGACCCTTTAAAGTTACTAAACCTAGAGGAATTTATGGTTCGAATATAATATCCTATAGAACAGAGGAGCCATTCACTGCAAAGCCTACCTGATTTGCAGCATTTCCAGAGGATGCAAATGATGAGACACTATCAGCACTCCCATTTGAATGTGCCCCATTATTAGCATTTGATGCCCCACTTCCATTTACAACTAGTTGGTTTCCAGAAGTCTGACCAAGCTTAGCTGAGTCTTTTGAATTCGTCTGAGAAAGCCGAGACTCATCAGGGTAGGATCCAGTCCTATCAGCCAGCTCAACCTGAAGCTGTTGTATGGTATATACATGAAGTCTCTCCATTTCTATGAACTGCAATGTCAACCAAAAACAACAAAGACATACATCAGCCCACAGTTACCAAATAACGAAGCATCAATTTGAATTAAGCTTTCAAATGAATAAATCAGTTTGTTCGATGGACAGATGAAGCAAAGAAAATAAAACAGATGACAAACACTGCCATAAGCAGGTTCACAACCATTTCATGTATAAATGTAAATCCTAATTAGCCACAGACCAGCAAAGTTTAAGAAAACACAAGACAGCAAACAAACCTGTCTCTGACAGCCAAGCCACAGTTGATTATATTGCTCAATCCGTTCACGCAGTTCAGCCTGTAAATTAGATTGCAAGGCATCCATCTCCTGAACACGTGCAATCCAAACTTTCAGTTGTTCGTCCTTCAGGTAGATCGTCTCCTGATCAACCCTACGCTGAAAGAAAAATGGCATTAGACATCCTTGCTTCATGGAAAATAATCTTCTAGACTCCAACCAGGATTCCTTTCAATCAATTCAATGTAAGATTTACAGGAAAAATAACAAATAGATACAGAGTATCAAGACACCGAACCTTGATAGACCATGAGCCACGCGAGAAACATAAATGAACTAACCTGTTCTTGCAACTCAAGAATCTGTCTCTCTTTATCCTGGATGTGTTCTTGAAACTCATGTAATTGCTGCATGTGCTGTGCTTTTTCAGCCTCAGAGTGATCGCGCTCCCTTCTGAACAAGGAAAAGTTCGTTGAGATTCTTTCAGATTTTGGATCAACAGAAGAACCAGAGAAATGCACATATCTAATAACGGTTTTAAAGCATTAGAACCAAACTGAACATACAGGCTGTTAGTCTAAAATACTTCGAGACCAGATAGAGAAGTGAGTCTGGCAGTCGACAAACATAGTGATTTACTGATTTCAATATACACATAATACATTTCATAATAAGATAATATATTTCTCCTCTTCATCTACATCCTGAGGGTATTTCTTCGCTGAACGACCAACAATAAGACGGGGGAGGGGTTGATCAAAAGAAAGTGCATCTCATACTCTCACCTGAAAGTAGCAAGCTCTTTGTTTTGCTCTCTGAGAAGGTCCTCTTTAGCCCATGCCTAAGTAAACAAGAAGATCAAATCACACAATTTACAGGTAACAAACAGCACCTGATGTAAGAGCCAGAGAAAGAAGCCCACAAACCGCTTCATTGTCCAATTTCACAGCATGTAGCTCCCTGTTCATCTCTTCAATTCTTCTTTCCAGGTCATGTATGGCCTGCTCTCTCTCGTGGAGTTTTTCCTGAAATGCAATGTGTATTCACAGCTGAAGGCGGAAGGCATGCAGAATGTCATAGAGGCAGATTACCAAAATGCACACTCTTGCTAGTATAATAGCCCACCTGAAGTTGTGCAGAAGAATCTTCACGTTCCTTGATTTGAGCATCAAAGCTATTTTGAATCTCCAATATCTCCGATCTAGCAATCATTTGTGCTCTTAGCTCAATTTCCATCTGCTGCAGCTCTTCCCTTTGTCTAGCAAAGGAATGAACCCGCTGACGTAAAATGTCATTGTCCAAACTCCCATCAACAGTAATAGAGCAGAAATCCACATCAACTGGCTCTCTCCCATGCTGCACCTTGATAAATAACAAAAACGAGTTCACTTTCTCTACTCTGAACATGAACCAAAGCCTGGCAATGCCAAGTTTTACATTGTTCTCTCATCATACTGCCCTAACTTGGAACGTTCCAACTCCTAGGATCAACAACATCTAGTTATTTGACTAAGATAGTGACCTTATAGGATGCTAAAGGTAATGCCACGGATCATCAAAATCAAAAATGTTCACGAAAGCCAATTAATTTCAGCATTTCCTTACTGCCGAGAAATGCTTC